GTAGTTAATTTTATTTAGTATCAGGATTTTAGTTCTAAATTTAATTAAACTAATTTCACTAATGCAGAGTTCCCAAGGGTGGGTTGGACAGATCCAAATTGTCAGGTTTGCTGACATTGTCTAACAGTGCTCTTCTAAATACACAGTAATGTGGAATTCTACATTTCCTTATCTTAACTAGACAAGTCACACTACTGTAAACCTTCAACCCCAGCCTTTGTCATATGAGTTGTCCATGCTTTTCTTGCACTTTTGTATTGAAATGTGTCACTTTTTGACTAGAGATGTGCTTTTGACACTTAGCATTTTCTCTTGAATACAATAAGAAGTGTGAAATGTGATTACAATTTGTAAAAAATGTTAAATGAACAGTAAATGTTCAGTGGCGCACTTCACATTCACGTTAAGCATGATAAATTTATTTGGAATAGACAGATGATTACCATATACCATCAGGAGACTATGTAGTTTCAGTTTTTTGAGCTGCATATTCTAGTATTTTTTTAATCCAAAACTACAAAAGGGATTTTTTTTCTAGTTTCAGTTTTGGCACTGGATTTTATCCTGGAGTTTTAAAATATTCTTCATCCTGTTCTTTTTCTATTAAGGTTAATGTTGAAGAAGGAAAATGCGGAAGTCGTCATTTGACAAGTTTTATAAATGAGTATTTGAAGCTCAGGAATAAGTGAAGCTGAAATTTGAAAAAATAAAAGAAAGAATGCATGCTATTTATCAGACCAGAAGTCCCACTTGTAGAATATTGAGCAATTTGTGTGAAGTGGGGAAGATGAAAGAAGTCAGAATTTGAAACGGAAGAATGAAGAAAAGAAATAAAAATGAAGTTAAGATAAGAAGTAATCTGGAATCAGAAAGCACTACGCTAAGTAATTACTAGTCTGTTTATGTGTCCCTGTATATTTTGCTAAACATGCATGCATTATTTGTTTAATAGAAGAAAATATATACAGGGTAAAGAAGTGACTTCCAAGGGAATCGTTTAAATTAGGTAATAATTCTAATTTTAACTGCTTAGTCAAATGATGGAAATGCAATTCTTTAAAAATAACTTTGTAGTCAAATAGCAGGCAGCACTGTGCTAATCCACTGGGTAATAATAGTTGGCCTCCCGTTTTCCCTTAGGCTTTTCATCTGTTATACTCTGCTGGTTCTGGGGCATGAGTGAGTTGGAACTGGTGGTCTGTTACTTTAAAACACCCTTCAGACTCTCAAAATGCAATGATATTTTCTGCTTTGATACTGAACAGTGTATAGTAGAATATTTTCTACTGGAAAATTTCCAGACTGTCACCAGGTTGATAATGGGATTAAACCCCCAAAATCCAAGCAAAGCATCTAACATTGTTTTATTGTAATGAAAGCATTAGGTTTCCACATTAAGTGGAAAGCTACAACCACTTAAGTCCTGATGTTGAGATTTACATGTCCCAAATAAGGATGATTCTTTATATTCTGTTGCATGCCTGTTCCAACTGAATCATTAGGGGTTTTGCTTAAGTATAGTAGCATCCCTTAAAAGAGATGAGTCATGCAAGTGTAAATGATAGCTAATTCAGAGTGCAGTAGTAGCTGGTATTTTGTTGCCTTTTCTCCTGTCTATCCTTAATGATCTTAAACATGGTTATCTTCTAGTGTGCTGCCCCATCTGAAAAAAGTCAACTCAAAATTCCTTTCTGTGTTTTGACTAATGTGTTAGATGATTAGCATAATGTTAATAACAAGTACACATAATCAGTAGCAAACAACCAATAGTTGCCTTCTCCATGCAAACTATTAAAGGTTATCATCTTCCTAAAATGATGACAACTTTGAATTTTTTTCTGAGGGTTGTCTTTAGAGTTATTGGAGAAAATGACTTCACTGACTTTTCTGGAAAGGTGCATGTTTGTTGGGACACTTAGCCTGTTGTCAGTGCTGCTTACATTATTTCTGTATCTTACTAGGAGAATACAGTTACTGCTTATAGAAGACAATTTGTTGCTTTTTTAACACTAATTGTCAGATAATAATCAAGAGTAATATTAATTTTGTGTTGACTCAAACTTAAAGGGATTTGAATTTTGATAAAGAATCGTAGAAAGATAACTTCTGGCTTTGAGTTTGTGAGGCTTAACTAATATTATGTGTATTTTTGCTTTTTAGGATTAGGGTGCCTAACAAACTAAAAGCTGTTTAGGACTGTGTATTTACTGTAAGGAGAGATTTAGTACTTCTGAGTTGCTGCTCTTAATGTAGGAGCTATAGACTACTTGAGATTTTGTTTTTGAACTTACCCTGTTCCTTAGGTTGTGCTTTAGTTAAAACGACTAAGATTTGAGAACATTTTTGAGGGGGAATTTCTGGCATTGTTTATGCTTTTGGCATTGGCTGTCTACAGTGTAGTTCTTTTTGTAGAGTTCTTTCTATATTGCCTTGTCACTCAGAGTTGAGTTTGAAGTATTGTTTGTAAAGGACTTTTCTGACTGGTTTTATAGAATTGTTTGTGCATTAAGGTTTAAGTGTAGAGTTTTGTATTTAGTTAATTACTTTGAGTCTCATGTCTTAACATAAAATCCTTTATATTCTCACCAATTAGAGGTGGTCACCATAACTGGAAAGATTTAACTAAACAAAGGATTAGCTGACAAAAGTTTAAGGTAGTTTTTTATGGATTTTTTTTTCCCTGCTAGCCCAACGAGGTGGCAGTATACAGACAAAGGAATCTTAATCTTGTTCTGATGTTTCCACTAATTTCTGATCTAAGAAATTGTTGCTCAAAAAGTACATGTAGGACTTGGCCTATTCAGTTTGGAGGCTGAGTAAAGTTTTGAGAACTTTCTAAACCATCTGTTTAGACACCTTAGCCTACTACACGTTTAAAGAAGAAACCTTACTTAGCTAATTTCCCATTCTAGAAATTCTATTATTAGAAAGACAGCTGAAGCATCCCAGTTTAGAATAAAACTTTGGTTAAAATGAAGCAACAATCTGAAAGGGGAATTTCCGGATATTTTGTTTGTTTTTTAGATTTATTTTATGTATATCATGCTCTGTCTGCATGTATACCTACATGCCAGAAGAGGGCATCAGATTTTATTATATATAAGATGGCTGTGAGCTACCATGTGGTGGTGGAATCGAACTCAGGGCCTCTGGAAGAGCTGCCAATGCTCTCTCATCTCTCCAGCCCCCAGAAATTTTTATTTTCTACCTCTTTAAAGTTTCTAATTGTTCTGTGAAGTGCTCTTACAGAATTGGAATAAATGTATTTTAACTTTCAAGTTCCTTGTGTCTGTTTTTCTCTTGTAGATTAGCTTTTCTCTGTAATAAAGATGACAAAAAGCTATACTTTCAGTAAGGTTTTTTGTTTTTGTTTTGACTAAGAGGAAAGTGAGGTAAATGGCCTTGCTGAACATTTTGCTTGAACATTAGATAGAGAAATCCAATGGCTGGTTGATTGGGGTACTCTCCCTCCCTACCACAAGCAGTGAATCTTAAACTATATCTTGGTGTTAAAGGCAGCTGTTACCACACGGCTTAGTTTAATCTATAGTTAATTATTCATTGGGGGATGAAGAAGGTCTGATAGAGAGGTAAGGTTATCTGTCATATGCTACATCACTCCATGTTTTATAGTGTGTCATTGAAGTATTTTTTAGATTATTTGGGGCCTGGAAAGCTGCTCGTTCTTCCAGTTGTCTGTTTTCCTTTGAGGTTTCCTCCCTTCATGTTGTATATAAAATGCATATTTTTGTGTCCTGAGCATCGAGGAGGAATGCTCTAAATTGTCTTCCATATTCTGTATGTAAATGGTAGTCTGGATTCTAAAATATTTGGAAGTGACTGTTTAGATTCATGCCGTTCATTTTAGTTTTCCTTTCCTTTTCCTGGTTGTTGCTGTATCTTAAGTAGAACAATTGACTAGACTGTGCCTTTGTCAATTTGACTTAGAAGGTTTTGTGTAGTGAAAGCTTAGTTGTCTGACTGGGGAGTGAGCACTGTCTCTTCCCATTTAATTTTTTTTCATGCCCTTGCAGAGTTTTTCTCCAGTTCTATTGTTGTATGTTGTGTGTCTTTTCTACTGATTGACATTATGAAGTGATTATCCCGTTTAGCTATTTCCTTGCCTTTTTATTTTATTTATTTTGGAGATCTTGTTTTTCAGTTAACTGGCCATTAGTTGGAGTTTTGATTAGGAAAACTGAGTACATGGTATTTGCTTAGACATCTACAGAATTTTCTTCCCGGGCCCCCTAGATAATGAGCTCATTTTATTTATCCTTGTTTTAATGTGCCCTTTACATATTATTTCTGCTTTTTCTCAGTCTCCTGTTTATTTTGCCTTGACTTTCTCAGTTTAGCCAAGAAAGTTGTGGATCTTTGGCACCTTCTCTACTCTTAAACAGCAGCCTTGCTCTGTTCTTAGCTCCTTTTGTTTGCTCTTGAGTTTGTAAGAGGTCCTGACATACATTGAAAACAAGATCTTAACCACATTTCATGTTCATCAGCTAGTCTTGGCACTCAGCTAGAGTTCTTCTACCTTCAGAGCTTGAAACACAGGATTGTCCTTACTGCTTTTGCCCCGCATTCAACAAACCATAACTTGAAGTTTTATAATTTTGTGGGGTTTTGTTTTTGATTGCAGCTTGACTGGAATAGACTAGGCTTCATAGTTAAGGAAAGTTCTTTCCCAGTCTATGTAGTAACATTCCCCAAATATAGTCCTTAGATAGTTCTTTATTTAATAATCTGACTTTGACACCTTTTAAGGGAGTAGAATTAGATAATTCTTATCCCTGCTCCAGAAAGGTGGAAGAATTAATTGATTGATGTCAGTTGAAGCAATGAAACTATTATACCAGGTATACTCAATTCCTGCCCTCACATGTTTTCTTATCTTTGGAAGAGGATTGCTCTCCTTGGCCATTTATCTCACAGAAGCTTATTTGTTTTTAAAGTTTCCCCAAAGTATGCAAATTAAAACTTTTGACATCTGCGTGTAGGAATCCCGTTCTGCTTCCAGAAGTGGAAGTGCTCATGGATCGGGGAAATCTGCACGGCATACCCCTGCAAGGTCTCGCTCCAAGGAAGATTCAAGGCGTTCTAGATCAAAGTCAAGGTCCAGATCTGAATCCAGGTAAGAAAGACCGTTTTGAGATCTCCTGTTAACTCTGCTCTGAAATTGGTGTGGTTTGTTAAGCTAAGGAAGGTAAAAGTCTATTTAATGTTGGTATTAGAGAGGGGAGCCAGAAGACTGAAACAGACTTGAGCAGATTATGCTTCTTTTGAACTTGCCGCCGCTCATAGCACCAGCACTTCCGCTCTCGATGTATTCTGCTTTGGGTAACGGCTTTAGACATTTTACTCTACTCAGAAGCCATGAATTAATGTCATTTATTTATTTTTATTCTGTCTATGTGCATTGGTGTTTTGCCTGCATGTATGTGTTAGGGTGTCAGATCTTGGAGTTACAGACATAGACCTGTCATGTGGGTACTGGGAATTGAACCAGCCCCAAAGCTTCCCTCCCTTCCTCCCTTCTTCCTTCCTACCTTCCCTCCCTTGACAGGGTTTCTCTGTGTAGCCCTGTCTGAGACTGGCCTTAAACTCAAGATCCACCTGCCTCTACCTCCCAAGTGTTGGGATTGAAGGCATGTGCCACCACTGCCTGAATTTTATTAGAATTTTGTTTGTAGTAGTTGCGGTGGTTTTTGTTAATTGGCCTAAATGAGTAGTGGGCATAATAGGAAATAAAAAAAATGAAGGGCAGTATTGTGAGAGATAAAGGTATGCATAAACCAGACTAGTAAAGTGTAGTCTGTGGTCCAATTTTCAAAAGTATTTTAAATACATTTATTTAACATTAAAATTTTCTTTTTATTTTGAAGAAATGGTGAGAGGGAGCATGTTCTTCTGACTTTGGTGGCTTAATAAATTAAAGTGATTAGATTGGCGGCAATTTTGTTTATCAAGGACTATGTCCCATGTTTGAGTTTAACTATAGAATAGAGTAATAAAAGAATTGAAAGACTATCTTGTGGCTGGAAGTTTCTCCGGTCATGCCTGGCCCCGAGGTCAGGAAAAATCTCTCCCACCCTTGTCCTGCAGCCACTTGGTCCCAAGTAAACACACAGAGGCTTAGTATTAATCACAAACTGTATGGCCCATGGCCTCTTGCTAGCAAGCTTATTCATATAACTTAACTCAACCCATTACTATTAATCTATGTATCGTCACATGTTCCGTGCCTTTACCTGTGTCCCATTACATGTTGCTCCTTGAACAATGGTTGGCATCTCTCCCTTCCCCCACCCTTTAGTTTCAATGTGATGCCTAACCTTATCCTGCCCTGCCATAGGCCAGTGCAGCTTTATCAACTAGTCAGAGCACCACATTCACAGCACTATCTGTTTTTCAGTTAATTTAGTCATAACGCCAAGACTTCTGTCTTGCAGGTCCAGGTCCAGAAGAAGTTCTAGAAGGCATTATACAAGGTCACGATCTCGATCCCGCTCCCATAGACGATCTCGGAGCAGGTCTTACAGCCGAGATTATCGCAGACGTCACAGCCACAGCCATTCTCCCATGTCTACTCGAAGGCGTCATGTTGGGAACCGGGTAAGATGAAAAAGTTTTCTAAAGTGCTATGGACTGAACCCAGGTTGTTGTGTACATGAGGCAAGTAAGTATTCTACCACTGAGGTGCATTCTCAGCTTGAAGATGTAGGTGGAGTTTTCCTATCCCACAGCCACTCTCAAATAATCACTCAGAGGTATAATATTAATTACAAATGCTCGTCCAATATCTCGGGCTTGTTACCAATTAGCTCTTACAACTTAACCCATTCCTATTAACCTATGTGCTCCGAGGCTTGGCGTTTACTTCTATCCCATTTTGTGTGTCCATCTCATTCTCCATCTGTCTGGTGACTCTTCTGACTCTGCCCTTCCTCATCCCATCATTCTCAGTTTGGCTTTGCCTCCTAATTTTATCCTGTTCAGCTATTGGCCAATCAGCTTGTTTACTAAACCAATCATAGTGGCATATATTCACACAGTGTACAGAAGGATTACCTCACAGCATGAAGACCTTTTTAGAAACATTGTACTATCTGATCTCTTTATTTTGACAGTGGAATTTTAGCAATTTAAAACTTTTGGCATCTGTGTGTAGGAATCCCATTCTGCTTCCAGAAGTGGAAGTATTTATATTAGGATGTAATTTCCCTACCTAGTAAGTTTTTTTTTCCTATGTAAAATTACAGGAACCTTTTCAGTTCTTTATGGCTGGAGTGCCTGTAATGTATTTGTAGAGTTTATTTTACTGATAATAGCTGTTAAAGTAATTTGTTGCTGTTGGGTTTCATATATGAGCATCTGATCAGTTAATATGTGATATAGTTCCCCTTGTCTAATTTCAGTTGCTAGACACTCAAAAAGATTAATGAAAAAGCTCAAAAATAATTTATGAAGCTTAATGTTTACGTCATCTTTAGTTTGAAGTCTTACCCACTTCTATTAGTAACAACATTACTGTTTCTAATCTTTTTCTTTATAATTTATTTATTTGTATTTTATATACATTGGTGTTTTTTTTTTTTTTGCCTGCATGTATGTCTGTGTGAGGGTGTTGAATCCCCTGGAACAGGAGTTATAGACAGTTGTGAGCTGCCATGTGGGTGCTGGGAATTGAACCCAGGTCCCTCTGGAAGAGCAGGCAATGCTCTTAACCACTGAGTCATCTCTCCAGCCCCACTGTTTTTAATTTTAATGTGCTTAATTTGCAGATTAAATTTTACAATACTTAAAATACTCAACAAAATAAAAAAGAACTGTAAGCAGTTGTTACATATCCAGCGCTACTTAGGAAGGAGGTTTAACTGTTCTGTGTAGGTGTGACACCCTTACTGTGCCCACCAAGACATCTTCCATCTGAGATTGGTTGGATTCTCCAGTGCAGAATACACAGACATAATTGTATTCCTTCTGGTCCATCAATCTATAATACCTTTATTTCCAGTTATTTACTCCCATCTATCCCTGTACACTATTAAGTGTCTTTTGGTTGTTTTCTGTTTTTGGTGGGTTTTTTTTGTTTGTTTGTTTTTGTTTTTGTTTTTTGAGACAGTTTCTCTGTATAGACCAGGCTGGCCTGCCTTCACCTCCCGAATGCTGGGATTAAAGGTGTGTACCATCACCTGGCTGTGTTCCATTTTTGAGACAAGCTCTCATTGTGTTGTGCCATTCTGACACGGCGGTGCTTGGTCTAACAATTTATCATTTTGTGTACTAGTTATCCTTCCCTTGCCCACTTACCCCCTTTAGATCAATGTCAGGTTTTCAGATTTTAAAATCTGTTTCTGTTTTCTAGGCAAATCCTGACCCCAACTGTTGTCTTGGAGTATTTGGATTGAGCTTGTACACCACGGAAAGAGACCTAAGAGAAGTGTTCTCTAAATATGGCCCCATTGCTGATGTGTCTATTGTGTATGACCAGCAGTCTAGACGTTCAAGAGGATTTGCCTTTGTATATTTTGAAAATGTAGATGATGCCAAGGAAGTAAGTAAATATATACTTGTACTTTAGTTCAAAACACCAGTCCTGATAACTGTTCTGATTGATAACCAAGCATTTTCTAAAAGTGCGTGTGTTCTAGACTGGGTGTTTTGCCTACATGGATGTCTTTGTACTATGTCTGCAGTGTCTCTGGAGGCCAGCAGAGGGCATCTGATCCCATGGAACTTGAGCTGCAGACAGTGATGACTGTCCCAGTGTGGGTGTTGGGAATTTAATCCAGGTCTCGAAAAGCAGCCAGTGTTCTGAACTGCTAAGCTATCTCTTTAGTTCATGCTTATTTTAGTCTTAAAAAACGGGGGATATGGCTAATACTATAGATCCAAGCTTCTTCTTAGTAGTGGTTGGCTTCCACAACAGGCACTTTGAATCATAGAATGTCAATGACAGTTTGCTTTTTTATTCTTACACCAAACAGCCATAGGTAAAGAAGAGCATTTGGGCTGTGTTCAGCAAGTATTAATTTATAGACGTTGAAATTTGGGTTTCATAGATGGTAGCGTGCTGCATGTGTGTGTAATCCCAGCACTTAGGATGTTAGAGACCAAGGGTTTAGCTGAGTCTACCTAAATTTGTAGGTAGGTATATTAAGTATTTTGTGGGCCATGTAGGCTGCTGTGGTGGTTTTTTTATTTTTGTGTGTGTGTGTGTGACTACGTTTAGCAAGTGAATTTGTAGTAGAGGGAACAACCCATTTAGGTAGTTTGTTTTTTTTTTTTTTCTGGCCAACCTTTAAATATTAGGAAACTGGATGGAAAGTCCCTTCAGTCTTTATTAGATGATAATTAGAGACAATTGTCCAGGATGTAACTTTTTTTTTTTTTTTTTTACTCTTTTGAAGGCTAAAGAACGTGCCAATGGAATGGAGCTTGATGGACGCCGAATTAGGGTCGATTTCTCTATAACAAAAAGGCCCCATACCCCAACACCAGGAATTTACATGGGGAGACCCACTTAGTAAGTTTAATTACATTTGTGTGAGTGTGGGTGGGTACTTGAATGGTCTAGAGATAACAAGTTGGGTGTCTTCCTCTGTCCATCTTCTCCCCACCAATCTCTTGACATCTTTTTAGAAGAAATTCTTTAAGATGCTGTGTACTTGTGCGCTCACATGTATGTAAGGTTCAGAGGACGCCTTTGTGACATCGATTCCTTTCTTACACTTTTACATGGGATCTGGAGATTATCTCAGTTGCCAAGCTTGTAAGCACTAGCATTACCTGCTGAGCCCCCTTGGTGCTGGGATTAAATTAAAGATGTATGCTACTGTGCCCAGCAGTTTTATAGAAAGTCAGTTGGATTTGTGTGTGCCCCTAAAACCAAAAGATTACATATGCATATACACATTCAGATAATATGGTGTAATAACAAGGAAAAAGAAAACAAGGATAATATTGATAAGAGCTATATAGAAATAACTTCCAGTTAATGTACTTAAAGAGGTCTGCTAGTAGATATGGATAGTAGCAATTTTTATTCAGGAGAACCAAAGATGGATTAGTCTCAGCATGTCCAAGGAATTTGGTTGATTTGAGTTCTCTTCTGCTATCCAGGATCTTTTTGTTTGTTTTGTTTTTGAGACAGGGTTTATCTGTGTAGCTTTGCGCCTTTCATGGAACTCACTCTGTAGCCCAGGCTGGCCTTGAACTCACAAGAGATCTGCCTGCCTCTGCATCCCAAGAGCTGAGATTTAAAGGTGTGAGCCACCACCACCCAGCTTCAGGATCAATTTTTATTTATTTATTTATTTTTTGGTTTTTCGAGACAGGGTTTCTCTGTGTAGCTTTGCGCCTTTCCTGGAACTCACTTTGGAGACCAGGCTGGCCTCGAACTCACAGAGATCCGCCTGGCTCTGCCTCCCGAGTGCTGGGATTAAAGGCGTGCGCCACCACCGCCCGGCCAGGATCAATTTTTAATAGCAAAAGTTGTGACCAAAAACTAAAGGAAATTATTTGCAGTATTAAAAGATGTGTTGTCATTCACAGTGGCAGCTCACGCCGCCGAGATTATTATGACAGAGGATATGATCGGGGTTATGATGATCGGGACTATTACAGCAGATCATACAGGTGAGTTGTATAGGAGCCTGTTCACACTAAATTTAAAGCAGCACAAAAACCCTAAATTTTTAAAAAGTAAGAAATAGCTGCGATTTAAACCAAAATGTAAGACTTACAGATAATTTGATATGTAGTTGGATGCTTCCTAAATTCTAAAATATAAATGAAGAACATCATTAAATTTGTGCTAATACAAAAATGAAAGTTGATTTTTATACATGTATGGAGGGCATTCCTCTCTAGCTTTTACTTGAGTTCTGGGTATCTAATTCAGATTGTTAAAGTATGGAGGCAGCAATCACCAACTAGTAATTCTAAGCCTTTAGTGTAAACTTGTATAATTAAGTATAGACCATGTGTTTGTCTTTTGTAAATGTTCACTATACCATTGTCTATGGAAGTGAGTCTTTAATAGTTGCCATCCATAATTTCACCAACATTGGCATTTTCTCCCCTTTTTAAGCATTACTGTGTTAAGTAGTACTTGGCTGAGAAGTTTAAAGGTCTTTATTGAGAGCAACTATGCCATTTCAGAAAGAACTCTTGTTGAGCATGTTAACTATGAAACTGGGTTATGCCATTCTTTGTGGCAATTGTTTTATTTAACTAAAAACAATTTATTCCTTTTCTGTTTTTACAGAGGAGGTGGAGGAGGAGGTGGTGGATGGAGAGCCGCTCAAGACAGGGATCAGATTTACAGGTGTGCCAAAAGGGTTTCGAGTCTGAGTAATAGTAGAGTATTTGCAAAACATTTGCCTGATACTTAGGCGACTGTTCTAAGTGACACCACGAAGATTGGGTTTTGTTCGGATTTGAGACAGGGTCTTTGTGTTGCCCTGGAACTCGGATCTGTCTGCCTTTACCTCCCCAGTTCTGGGATTAAAGGCATGCCCCACCATGCTGCCTGCCTTGATTTTTTTTTTTTTTTTTTTTAAGATTAATTTGTTTGTGTGTTTATCCTGCATTTATGTCTACCACATGCATGCTTTGTATCCTTGGAGGCCAGATGACGGCCTCACATTTTGATCAACCATTTGGGTGCTAGGAATCAACCTAGGTTCTCTGTAAGAGTAGCAAATGCTTTTAACTGTTAGCTATCTCTCTAGCTACAGGATTTGAAGTACATGAAAGTAGTTCTCAATAGGCAATGTAAAAGGATTCGTAGAAATTTAAAAATTAATTGAGCTTTAATTTATAAAATAGAGCCGATTCTTTTAATGTTCATTTGGTATTTGAACCTAATAAACTGCACTTTATAGGTTTATTGGGACCTTCTAGCTTGAAAACTGGCGAAAGTTTGTCTTCATATTGTTATTAGCACAATATCATCTAGATGTAGGTATAGACAGTCTTTATTTATTTACAGAAGGCGGTCACCTTCTCCTTACTACAGTCGTGGAGGATACAGATCTCGGTCCAGATCGCGATCATACTCACCTCGTAAGTTACCTTGATTAGTTTTATTTATCTCTTGTAATTTGCTTAAGTATAACTATTTTACAAATAATTTGGAAGTCCATGCGGTTCTATCCTAATTGGTCACAGTATAATCTGTGACACCTAGATGATTTAAATAAAATCTTAATAAATTGAATTTTCTTTATACATTAGTATTAATGCTTCGGTGAAAATCTTATTGGTGGGAGAGACTTTCAGGTTTAAAATGTTTGATCCCAAACACACACGTTTTGTTTTCTTTACAGGTCGCTATTAAAGCATGAAGTTGAAGACTTTCTGAAAGCTGCCATAGAGCTGGGATATTGTTTGTGGACAATATTTTCTATTGTCTCCTGTTTAAAAAGTGAACAGTGCCTAGTGAAGTTAGGTGACTTTTACACCTTTTATGATGACTACTTTTGGTGGAGTTGACATGCTGTTTTCATTCTGCGTTTGTGTAGTTCGGTGCTTTGTTCAAAGTTAAGTGTTTTCAGAAAAGTATGTTTTGCATGTATTTTTTTACAGTCCAAATTTTGACTGCTGAGAAGTTTCTATTGTACAAAACTTCATTTAAAAGGTTTTTCTACTGAATCCAGGGTATTCTGAAGATCGAAGCCTGTGTGTAAAATGCTACCAAATGGCAAAAAGCAACAATAAACAAGTTTGATTTTTACTTTTCTTTCTAAATATCAATGCTTAACCAGAACCATTCTTAAGTTACCAGTAAAATATTTTAAAATAAAAATACTCAAATTTCTTTCAGGAGTCCACGAAACTTGCCATATTCAATATACTTGCAATTAAGTGTTAAATACGCTGTAACTCTGTGCTGCTAGTATTAGAAGATAAATCTTTCCATACAGCAGATGCTTAATGCTTACATTAATGTGGATTCATCAGCCTTTATGTAATCTGTATTATATATAGCAGGGAATAAGAGCTACAGACACATGTCTTTCAAAGGCTGTTTCTTAAGGCTGTCACAGAGAGATAATGGTATTTCAACTAGTTATCAACAAGTGACAATACATTCCACCACAAATGTCCTCTTGCTCTTCTGGCTTTTAGACTATATGAAAATACTGGGTGCTTCAAGGTATGGAATGAGAGAAGGGTTCACCACACCTGTGTCATGGATGAACTGAAGACTGCCTGTTCATTTTTAAATATTATTTCCAGGTCCTTTGCTTACCAAAGGAGGCCCAATTCACTCAAATGTTTTGAGAACTGTTTAAATAAAGGCAAAGAGAAAACTTGCTAATGCAACTTGGTTTACAGAGAAGTGTTGGCTTTCTTTTAACTTTATTGTAATTAGAGTCCTGTGGTTTACTTAGTGCCTGGTGCAATATTGTTCTTGCTTCAAGATAACATACTGTGTGATGTTTTGGAAAAATGTATTTCTCAAATATATTGCTCAAGTAGATACCGGAATGAAGATTCTCTTTGGGCCTGAGGTTGTATTAAATAACTAGCCTTCCCACATATCTGTGGTTTTGCAAAGCATGATTTTAATACCAATTTGTTTTAGTTTAAGGCCGTACAAGTAGTGCTAGCCTGTGGGCTTTTTTAGTCCTTGGCCGTTACTTCATATGTCCAGGTTTTTCATAAAGTGCTACATATTGTAGCATCCATGGGCAGAGTATGACTTAGATAAACTAGATACTAACACGACAGTGCCCAGATGCAAACCTATGAGGACCTTTTTGTTACCGCTGTATAGTTCCCCTCCACCCCCATTACTGTGAATTCAACCTAGAGCTTCAAGCATGCGAGGCAAACACTCTGAGCTACAGTCTCAACCTTAAGCTTGATACCACTGTCACTTACAGCAAGCAGTCTTGCATAAAAGAACACCAAGCATTGTGTGGGAATATAATTGGAAGTCCCCCTGCAAGTCTCATTGAGCTAATGAAGGACCCTAGGGTTTTGAGGGTGGTTAGAAATAGTGAGGTTAGAGGGTTTTCCAGACTTAGGGGTTATGGGGGTGGGGAGTAAGAAACAGTGGGGATAAAAGGGATTTCTGTATTTCAGAAGTATCTTTCTGGAGAGCCAAGCATGTGGTAAATGTGTCAGAAAAAACACTGGGGCTGATGTTTTAAAAACTAGTTTCCATTTGGGCCATTTTTTGAGGTAACTTCATTTCTGCTATGTTGTTTCTGTCCTTGCATATTAAGGAAAAACAATATCAAGCAAGGCAGTCTCAGGAGCATCACCTGTGAAGGGATGATTGTGGAAGTCAGATTAGTTGATACTATTTTTAAAATTCAGATTCTAGATCCCAGTCTTTTTTTTTTTTTTTTTTTTTGGTTTTTTCGAGACAGGGTTTCTCTGTGTAGCTTTGCGCCTTTCCTGGATCTCGCGCTGTAGACCAGGCTGGCCTCGAACTCACAGAGATCCGCCTGCCTCTGCCTCCCGAGTGCTGGGATTAAAGGCGTGCGCCACCACCGCCCGGCTAGATCCCAGTCTTAATCTGTGGATTCTGAACTACAGAGACAAAGGGTAGTGAATGGTCTGAACTTTACTTGTGCATGTGTACATGCATGGGTCTGCAGAGGTCAGAAGACACTAGATCCACTGGAACTGAAGTATTTTTGGGCTTGGGACTTTGTTTTTGAGATCTGATCTATCTAGTCTTGTCTATCCTAGAATTGGTTGTGGATCTCTGCATCTGCTTCCATCAGTTACTGGATGAAGGCTCTCTTGATCCAATCAGAGTTGTCGGAGTCTCAAAGGTGTGCAGCTTCAATACATTTCTTGACAACAGATGTTTGCCTCTTTTGGTTTTTCGAGACAGGGTTTCTCTGTGTAGCTTTGCGCCTTTCCTGGAACTCACAGAGATCTGCCTGGCTCTGCCTCCCGAGTGCTGGGATTAAAGGCGTGCGCCACCACTGCCCGGCGATGTTTGCCTCTTAAAATTGATCAGGACATTCAACTCGACGACTAAGCCAGTATTTGTAGTGTAATTCTCACAGATTGCCTTAGTAGATAGAAGGTAAAAGATACAGACACGGTGACTTCGATTCAGTTTGGCCAGTGCACTGTCAAACTGAGAAGTTTTCCTGTTTCAGCCTTCAGTGTGCTGAGATTGTGCATATGTGCCGCCATTCCTGGCTCTGCTGGCTAGGTGATTTACAATTGTCAGTGATTCCGATTCTGGATACATTATTGGCACAAATACGGTTTCCAGCCTCATACTCTAGGGTCATTTTTTGTTTTAATTATTTCAAGAACATTTGGGAAAGTATGACAATTGAACTTTCCATCTAGCATGAACTGTTCCAGGTTGCTAAAGCTGTATGTCAACTAAATGCGCCCACCTTTGTTTTTGAAACCATTAATCTGGTGTAGAGTCTAATGGAGTCATGATAAAGTTTACAACAGTGCTTTGAAAGCCACTAGTCCCAGAGTTAAGGCCAGCCTGCTTTACAAGCTATCCATGATGTGGAACAAAGAAGGCTCTTGAGATTGACCACACTGAACGTTTTCCCATTTGATTAAAACTTGCTTGCCAACCATCACTTGAAGCGTCCCCACAATGAACCTCTAAGTGTTTAGTTCTCTATTTTGGACACTAACAATCTTAGGCATATGTCAATTCACATTGGTTCAAAGGCCACCCAGGGCTATATGGTGAGACTTTTTAAAAGTGCTTTTTAAAATGGCTTATTGAATAATTGATATTTTTAAAGGCTGAAGCAGGATTGCCATGAGCTTGAGGCCAGCTGCATATGTCCAGGCTGTCCGGGCTATATACAGTATGATACCAGGTCTCAAAAAAAGTCATACTTTGAACAGCTGAGGCTGAAGAAAGTTCAAGGCCAGCCTGTGCGACTTAATGAGACCTTGTCTCAAAATGAAGAGTAAAAAGACTAGGTTTAAAGCTCAGTAGTAGAGCACTAGTATAGCAGGTGATAGGTTCAATCCTCAGTACTGATGTGGGGAGGAGAGGGGACTTTGTCTACCCTGAATCTTCATATATTGAGCTAGCAGTATGGCTCAGTTGGGAAAGGTACTTGCTGACAAACTGAGTTTGAGCCCCAGAACTTGTCCACCATACACAGTGTGATTAAATCACCTAGTCATCTTGCATATTTATACTCCCAGCTGCTTTCATGTGGTTTTGTGATATGCTTATCCCATTATACACATCAGATGTTTGTTCCTTTTATTGCAGATGTTCCATTGGGTGAATGCATGGTTATTTTTGTTTTTTTGTTTGTTTAAATCTGCTCTGAAAAGATGGTCTGCTTATAGTAAGGTTTTTGGTTTTTTAAAGGCAGCATCTAGTGTTCCAGAACTTGGCTTTTACATAGCTGGGGGTGGTCTTGAGTTTTTCATCATCCTGGCTCCACCCCCCTGAGTGCTAGAATTACAGACACTATGGCACAAGTCCATGTCATACTGGGGACTGAACCCAGATCCTGCTACTGACTGAGCTGTGTCTTCAGTCGCAGTTAAACTTCCAATATTCAACATTCTTCCCACCAGCTTGTGAGAGCTCCGGTTCTGTCTTGTTTCTTTTAAATTTTTGCACTTTTGTATGGGTAAATGGGAGTGTGCATGCCATAGTGCATTCCTGGAGACCAGAGGATGGCTTTTGGGAGTCCTCTTTCACTGTGGATTGGGGGGCAGAACAGCACAGTAAGTACTTTTATCTACTGAGACATCTTCAACATTTATGCTTTTTAATTTAGCCATTTTATTGTTTGGTTTTTTTGTTTTTTTTTTTTATCACGGCTTTTTTGTTTCCTAGATGGTTTCTCTGTGCAGCTCAGCTGCCCTAGAACTCAATATATATAGACCAGGCTGGCCTCAAACTCAAGAGATCCACCTATTTCTGCCTCCTGAGTGCCTGGATTCTTTAACCCAGCACCACCTGGCAGTCTTTTTCTTTAAAAAGCAATGTATGTATATGGATGTTTTGCCTGCGTGTATGTCTGTGCGCTATGTGCATGGAGGTCAGAAGAGACTGTTGGACACTCTGGAACTAAAGTTACATTTATAAACCACCATACTCACCACGTGCTAAGAATCAAACCTGTGTCCTCTATAAGAGCAGGTAGTACTCTTAAGCTGCTTAGCTACCTCTCTAGCCCTTGGTATCTCAATAACTAATATGCATTTTGCATGATTATTGATGCACATTTTTATGTTTTAGCCATTTATGTAGTTTTTTTTTTGGTTTAAAAGTATCTTGCTTATTTAAAAAGATTAGTTTATTAAGCTGGGTATGGTGGGACACACTTGTAATCCCAGCACTAGGGAGATCAGGACTTGAGGGTCATCCTGGGCTACATTAGACCCTATCACAAAGTTTATTAGGGTCGTTCTAAAGAAATACAGGCCATGTGTGTTTGTGTGTGTGTCCCTGTGCATGTCATTGGCAAAAGCCAGGAGAATCAATACTGCTGGTGAAGTTTGAAGGCTTAGTTAGGGTTTCTATTGCTGTGAAGAGACACCATGACCCTGGCAACTCCTGTCACACTTTCTTTTTTTTTTTATTTTCGAGACGGTTTTCTCTGTAGCTTTGCGCCTTTCCTGGAACTCACTGTCGCCCAGGCTGTCCTTGAACTCACAGAGATCCGGCCTACCTCTGCCTCCCAAGTGCTGGGATTAAAGGCGTGCGCCACCACCGCCCGGCGGCAACTCTTAGAAAACATTTCATTGAGTTTATAGTTCATTGGTTCAGTCAGTTAACATGGCGGGGAGCATGGCAGCATGCAGGCAGAGGTGGTGGTGGGACTGAGACTGCTACATCTGACAGGCCATGGGAAATCAACTGGCACGCTGGGCAGTATCCTGAGTATGAAATCTCAAATCCCACCCCCATAGTGACACACTTCTAATAGTGCCACTCCCTATGAGATTATGGGGCCCTACCACATCAGCGCTCACTGAACTGGAAGCTTGCCATTTTGGCTAGACTGGACAGGGAGCTTGCAGGGTCTAGCACTGGAGTTCTAGGCATATAGAACCATGCCATGAAAGGAAAGGATTTCCCTGAAAGATAAGTGTATTCTGCTTTACTTGAAACACAGCAGTGTGCACACTACACCTATTTACACACCTTTCATCACACTGTTTTGGTTTTGGTTCTGTTTCTTGCTTTTTTTGAGAAAAAAGCTGTTGTGACTCAAACTCTTGGCAGTCTTGCCCCAGCCTCACAAGTGCTAGGGATTCATAGGTATGAGCCATCGTGCCCATCACTCCATAGTAAAAAATTTCTGTGACCTTTAAGAAGGTCTGTACATGTTGGGAGTGTAGCT